CTAAATCCTGAAGCTGACCTGTGGTGGCATCAGTGGAGAGGGGGCTGGACCGTTTGCGCCCGGAGACACCATAGAGGTGGAACTTGTATCTGCGGGAAGGAGCCAGGTTGGTCACAGTAATTTCATTGGAGCCTCCCTCCACGGGCAACTCTTGGGGTTGGCCATCTGCATCCTTGTACTGGACCAGGAAGGAGTCAAAGCTGCCGGTGGGGACGGTCCAGTAGAGACGGACAGAATCACTTGTGACGTCAAGGACTGAGAGCTCCCCCAGGCTGGGTTGGACAGGAATTGGCTCAGCTGTTTCTGTAAGGGGGGCTAAAACAGAGAAAGGAAAGGAAAGGCTTAGTTATAGTTGCAATGTCGTTGGAGATTACATCCAGGTTTTGGAACATTCCGGAAATATGGTATTTGTTAAGGAAATCAAGAATGTTAGTATGGAAGAATAATATCTGAAAACCCCCAGCCACACTAAATCCTGAAGCTGACCTGTGGTGGCATCTGTGGCGAGGGGTCTGGAGCGTTTGCGCCCAGAAACGCCATACAGGTTGAACTTGTATCTGTGGGAAGGAGCCAGGCTGGTCACAGTCACTTCACGGGAGCCTCCCTCCACAGGCAATGCTTGGGGTTGGCCATCTGCATCCTTGTACTGGACCAGGAAGGAGTCAAAGCTGCCGGTGGGGACGGTCCAGTAGAGACGGACTGAATCGCGTGTGACATCAAGGACTGAGAGCTCCCCCAGGCTGGGTTGGACAGGAGTTGCCTCCTCTGAGTCTGTAAGGCTGGCTAAAACAGGGAAATGAAAGAAAAAGCTTAGTTATAATTTCCTTGGTCTTGGAGATTCATTCCAAGAGCTGGAAAAACCAGTAAAAAGTTACTTGTTAAGGAAATCAAGAATGTTAGTATGGAAGAATAATATCTGAAAACCCCCAGCCACACTAAATCCTGAAGCTGACCTGTGGTGGCATCTGTGGAGAGGGGGCTGGACCGTTTGCGCCCAGAGACTCCATAGAGGTTGAACTTGTATCTGCGGGAAGGAGCCAGGTTCGTCACAGTCACTTCATGGGAGGGTCCCTCCACAGGCAACGCTTGGGGTTGGCCATCGGCATCCTTGTACTGGACCAGGAAGGAGTCAAAGCTCCCGGTGGGGACGGTCCAGTAGAGACGGACAGAGTCACTTGTGACGTCAAGGACTGAGAGCTCCCCCAGGCTGGGTTGGACAGAAATTGCCTCCTCTGGGTCTGTAAGGGGAGCTAAAACAGGGAAATAAAAGAAAAGGTTTAGTTATAATTTCCCTGGTCTTGGAGATTCCACCCAAGAGCTGGAAGAATCAGTAAAAAGGCTGCTTGTTAAGGAAATCAAGGACATTAGTATAGAAGAATAATATCTGAAGAGCCCCAGCCACGCTAAATCCTGAAGCTGACCTGTGGTGGCATCAGTGGAGAGAGGGCTGGACCGTTTGCGCCCAGAGAGTCCATAGAGTTTGAACTTATATCTGCGGGAAGGAACCAGGTTGGTCACAGTGACTTCGCGGGAGTCTCCCTCCACAGGCAACGCTTGAGGTTGGCCATCGGCATCCTTATACTGGACCAGGAAGGATTCAAAGCTCCCGGTGGGGACGGTCCAATAGAGACGGACAGAATCGCTTGTGACGTCAAGGACTGAGAACTCCCCCAGGCTGGGTTGGACAGGAGTTGCCTCTTCTGAGTCTGTAAGGCGGGCTAAAACCGGGAAATGAAAGAAAAAGCTTAGTTACAATAGCCTTGCTGTTGGATATGCAATCCAGAAGCTGGAACATTCAGTAAAAATTGCTGCTAGTTAAGAAAACCAAAAAAGTTAATATGAAGTTACAATATTTGAAAAGCCTCCAGCCATGCTCGCTCCTGAAGCTGACCTGTGGTGGCATCTGTGGAGAGGGGGCTGGACCGTTTGCGCCCAGAGAC